TTATTGTTTCTTGGAGTCTTCCCACTTCAATCACTTTCTGGTCTTTCTATATAGTCTATTCAAGTCTATTGTCTAACTTGTCCTAGTATTGTGTAATCAAGTCCCTGCTCGGGTGCCATTCGTTCGTTTTTCGGTTTGTAGCAAAGCACTCGTCTGTCTTGGTCGTACGTTAAGAGGACGGGAGTAGAACCTACCCGTTCCTCTCCGATTGGTGGGCGTAGCTCCGTCCCGCCAAATATAATTACGGCCTAACCTATGTGTGCAAAACCTCCTGACTCTGCAGCAGCCGCCTGATGACTCCTGTCTGCTTTGATTGCTTGCCGGCTATTTATACAAATTGCCGACCACAGTCGCGTCGCGTATGTTCCGCTTTCCTTTGCGCTTTGTTCTTGTGTGTTAAATAACACAAACGGCAATAACGCAAAATTTGCTTTATTTCACTTTTAAATGGGAAATAAAACCAAAATCTGAGTTTTGCTTTATTTCCAATAAAGGTTGGATATAAAACAAATTTTGCCTTATTTCCCATTGCTTATTTATACTATTTGTAAAAAAAAAACAGTTTACTGACAGAAGGAAAAAGAACTTTGTTTATTCCAAAAATACAATTAAACCAAGGCACATTGAACAGGTAATATCAGTATAGCAGCTGGTTTGATTTTTTTCAAATTATCTGTTCTCGAAAATGTCAAATATTTTACATTTCTTCTAGCAAAAATTCTAAATTGTTAAAATCTATTTGCATGTGAAATATTTTCCATACAAAACCAGCGATTAAATAGCAGCTTTTGGAAAGCTCACCCAACTCAGCAGCACAACCGCTGATTACTGGGCCTGGAACAGGATAGTGGATCAATGCTTCGAGAAGCGAACCAATTTACTAAGAAAGAAAGTTGCAACAATTTTCACTTTTTCAATTTAAATTTTTTACCTTTTTCGTATTTCGCATGGCACGCTTTGATGTAGAAGAAAAAAATCAGAACAGTTTTTGGCAACTTCCATACCAGAAGCAATAACAAAATACAGGCAAATGTTGTTTTTGCTCAAATCCTCTAAACCTGTTTGATAGGCCTTGAATTAAACAAAAAATGTGATATAATTCGTATGAAGAAAGTAATATTCACAAAATATTTTTACTTATGAAAAGTCTAACAAAATATAGGAAAAGCATCGTCGTTAAAAAGTGCTCCGCATATTGGACATAGCGCTTTTGTATGAATTTTTTTCTTGCTTCATGCTTTTTAATATATGTTAAAAACATTACTGGAAACCCTTCAAATGTTTGCATTGAACCAAGTCGCAATAAACAGATGAAGTAATAAAACGGCTTTCTCGCTTTATTTTCTGACATTCGACTGCCTTATAGTCACATTTTATAGGCAAATTTTCAACTAAAGCAGTGGCACCTGGTAAATTCCACTATGGGTGGGATGCATGCAATAACACCATACACAATAATTCCCATTACTTGGACGACATTAAAAAGCAGTTTCAGAAGTGAACTAGTGTTATTTTATCATTTTTCCTTTTTCTAAACGGTTATAATACCACCAGTACATAATAGGAGGGGCGGGGGACCCGAGCGCGACGTCGAACGCGGGGTGGCGCGGGGCGGCGCGCGAACGCGGACCGCCGCGACGCCGGGCACTTTCAAAATTGTATACTTACAAATCCGTCCATTTAACTTGTTCATGTCTACTTTTTGTCAAATGTAACTGGGTGACTATTTTGCTTTATTACTCAAATTGTTAAGTATAAAAGTTGGTCTTATTGCTCAACGAGAAATGAAATAAAACAAATTTGCGTTATTGCCGTTTGTGTTATTTCACCCCCCCACTTTGCCGATGCCTGGATTGCTGATGCTGTGTTTTTGTTTGTGCGTTGGTGTGTATGTATATATGTATGTACGTTTGTATGTATGTCGCTGTTGGGTTTGGTGGGTTTTTATGCATTCCTTTTCCACGCATGTTTGTTTACGCAGCTGGGTTACGCCACTGCATATGCTGTGTGTTTGTTGCTGTGTTGATTTGCATCTAAGTTGTTAGGTACAGTGACCAACAGTTGACAAATAAAAATTTTTCAGATTAGTTTTTTTTTTTTAATGTCCTAAGAAATATGTACATATAAATATTTCCTTGAATTCTATTATTATTTCTTCTTAAAAATTTTCTAGATTATTTTTCAGAAATTTTTCCTTCAAAACTTTCTAGACTTAGTTTTTTCCCGCTTAATTTTTCGCTCGTAAACTGTTCGTAAAAATTTCCCTGTTTTCTCCGTTTTTCTTTCAAAATTGCATTAACTTTATAAATTTTTCCCATTTTCTTAAATTTTTATTTATTTATTTTTTTTGTTTTACAAATTTTCTTTCATAAAGATTTTAATTAAATTATTATTTCCTTTAAATTTCATTCCTCATAAGATTTTCCTCAAACAATTTTTTTTTTTGTTCAGTTTTGTTTTATAAATTCCAAAAAAAATCCCTAACATTTTTTTCTTTGCCTTACAATTTCCTTTAAAAAATTTTTTTTCCTAAAATTTCGAAGTTTTAATTTTGTTCTCTTTTCCTATTTTCCTTAGACGATTCGGTTCTTTCATAGTTTCCTCGTTTTTTTTCTGAAATTTCATTCCTCATAAATTTTTTTTTTTCCTTCAGAATTTTTTCTAAGGCTTAACTTTTTATTTTTTTTTTAATATATATTCTTCTATCTTTTTTTTTCTATAGCATTTACTACGCAAATTTCCCCCTCATATATCGTTTGGCCTCTGTAATTCTTCTCTAAAATCCTCCTCAAGTTTGTTTGTTTATCTACTCCTTTGCTCCCAACACTTCTCTTTATTATTCTTCCTTCCTTCGTCTCTGTGCCCTTGTTTCGGTTCTTCGTATTTTCGCTGGGGGGTTGTTTGCTGCATCCGGGAAGTTCGTCTCCCCTCTCGTAAAAAGCCTCTACTTCGCTTATGTGGGCTGTCCTGGTCTTTCCGTGTCTTTCCACCTCCACTATAACTGGTGAAGGGAAGTTTCTTACCGTGTACGGCCCGCTGTATTTCGGGGCCAACTTTGCCGCAAAGTTTTCTACTGCCTT